CTTTAGGTTCCTCTCTCAGGAAGCACTAGCCTGAGTGAGACACAGAGGGAGGAAGCACTAGTCCCAGCAGAGGGTAGTCCATGGGAGGGCCAGGGAGGGTGCTTGGAGAATTTCCAAGATGCAGTACCAGTGTCCTAGGCAGTGGGCAGGTGAGTCTGTGAACAGAAGGTCCCATTGGATGGCCAACCTCATGCTTCAAAATCAGAACAACACACTTGTACACCTTCTTAGGTGACACTGTGTCGGCGATGGTTGCCTGGAAGGTTTTAATTGCAGATAAAAAAGGGAAATTAAAAAAGACAACCAGTTCAGTTGTGCTGAGGGGTTAATATTTAATTACTAGGATGTTCTTTGCATCCTCACAGCTTTCTCTTCTGGTGTTCAGTTATGCTGACAAAAGGTTAGTGATCATCTTGTTTGAAGGTTGTCATAATGTGGCATTTAAACATACTGTTTCCTATTGCACAGTGAATACACTAATCCTAATCACTCCTTTCATTCTATTTGAGTTCTGGGCCTCTCCCAATTCCCTTTTCTCTTTTTCTTTTCTCATGCAATAGCCAGCTTTATTCAGAGCATCAGACAATTTATGCTCTGAAGATTAAGAAAATTCATATGAGTAAAGTTCTCCTGAGTCCAAGCTGCATACAGTTGTGGCAAAAACATGTTTTTCTACTGAGGCAAACGGACATTTAACTGAATATCAGCAGCAAGCAATAGTGAGTAATCTGACGCAAACTCACTCCTATCCGATATGCCTGGGAGGGGCCCCAAAACACATTCCGAGAATAATTCCATGTTTTGAAGAAACTGAGGTCACGTGATTCTTGCCTTGTTTTCTTGAAAGCACTCAGAATTCTCACAGGACTCAGGACTCCATTCCTGGACTGTGTTCTGACATCATGGCACTCACCCCAAGACCATGCTCTTTCAGGCAGCTCCCTACTGATGACTGAGACAGTGGGTGGGAAGAAACCCAGGGTATTTCTGGCCCAGGTAAGGTTCTGGGCCAATCATCTTCCCTCTAGAGAGGCAGAGTTCTCTATGCTGTCCTGCCCTCTGAGGTTCTTTCCACCCAATCGTCCTACACCCTGTGCTAACTGTCCAACTTTGATGGAAAGCTATTGCTTTATCCTACTATATTTTATTTTCTCACGTTTGATTGTTAAAGGAAAAGCAATATTTCTATTTAAACTTCTAATTTAAATTTCAAAAGAATTTCTATCCATCAACTTTTATAAAAGTGTAATGAGGAGCAGGAAATAATAAAGGAAAAAGACAGGAATTAACCCTAGAAAACACTTTTATGTTAAATTTAGGAAATACAAACTAAAATATTGTTTAGAAACTTCTGGGCATTTAGAAGTAAACTTTCCGCTAAAAAAATTTACAGCTAGTCAAGGCAGCATTCTGACTTCCATGGATTGCTTTTTCCATCTTATTAATTTAACCAATTTTCTGGCAGCAATTTTCAGGCCCAATGTAAGGGAGTGTTCCTGGCAGTAAATGTTTTCAGTTTTTAATTGTGTGTGTTGTGCATGCATGCACGTGCACACACGTGTTCATGCATGTCCCGGTGCTCCTGCGGATGTCAGAGGTCTGCTTTGCGCAGTCCTCCATTCTCCCTGTTCACCTGTACTTGGGTTCTGGGATTAAAGTCACATCATCATGCTCGCACAGTAAGCACCCCTACCTCCCAAGCTATCCCGCTGGCCCAGCACAAATGTTTTAACAGCGATTTTAAGAGCAAGAACAAGTTTGTGTGGGCAGAACACCCACTGCTGTATCATTTGGTCAGCTTGAAGCCACAAGATAATAGCAGATGACAGGAGGAATACGCCATTAACAGTGGAGCTTATGGAATAGTTAGTCCCAGTGAGCTAACATAGTTCTGTGTGAGGCAATATGGACGTGAGAAGATGATCAAAGGTTGAGTCCAAGGAAACCGAGCTTTCTTGCAAACTCCATGCCAGCTTTTATTGTTTCCTTGGGAGGATTTTCCTGTCAGGAGGATGAGCTGGGCCTTCCCACCTTCCAGAGGAAGTACCATCACCCACTCTGCAGAAGAGAACTAGGGCACTGAGCTGCTCATAATGTAGGCTCACATGGAATGGGATCTGTAACTCTTTCCTTTCTGATCTGCCACTCAAATGGAAAAGGAGATAACAGCCCTGCTGGGTGTGTGTGGGGGGAGTCAGGGGGGCAGTCCTTGGGCGCATGGGCAGGACCTAGAGCAATGTGGTAAGAATGGGAGGCAAACAGAAAAGCTGAGTGTGCCGTCCAGGTTCTCCAGCAAGGGAACGTGAGATGGGAGGTGGGAGAGGGTAGCTGAGGGGTGGCTCTGGATCTTTGGACAAAGGACAGAGGGAACAAGAGAAGACGAGACTCTCCTAGTTTTCTGGAGGGAGGCAGGGAGAAGAGGTTTGTGCTCTCAAGTGACAGGGGTAAACGGAGTCACAGAGGGCAACGTCCTCTGCCTTCTCCGGCTTCTGAAGTGAGTCAGTGATGGAACATGGAACGGAAGGAGAAGTCGGGGCAATTAGGGTCCTTTGTTCAGAGCTCTGACCTCTGAAGTCTTTCTCCGTTCACATAGCGTAGGTTGTTCACCAAGAATGCATTGACTCTTTAGGTCTTTATTCCAAATAAGGAGCTTAAAATAAAGACTCATGCAGATAATCACATTGAACAGCTTAGACAGAATCTTTGAGTAGCTGGAAGGGAGTTCTGAGTGAGGATGAGTATTGGCTTTATTTAAGTTAATTTGTTCGGCTATGGATTTTACTTTTGTTTGGACAAAGAATAACTGAGTCAGTCTCAGAACTCATCTGACAGCATTTGGGCAGCAGTTTTGATTCAGTTGCAATTTTTCAAATGAGATGGACTGACAGTGATCAGGCTATGGAATCCTTATGACTTTGAGTCTCCCTACATACCTTTGATAAACATAATACCGCTTTGATGTTCTTAGCAATTATTTTTTGCTATTAAAATAGTACTCTAATGGGATTAACTAATAACTATTGCATATATTATGTTAAACTGTCTGGAATAACAATACAACAACTATGAGTCATTAAGATCCTTCATATTGATGTTTAGATATTTTCCTTTGAATTAAAAACATTCATTTTTATTTTTAGGTTATTTATAGCCCTAAAAGTATGTCACATTTTTATTTGAAATAAACATTGTCACTTTCACTACAGAAACTGTGGTGTTCATCACACATCTTAAAACTTTATAATACAAAATTGCTTGTATTGTTTTCCTCATTTACCACACTTATAGTGATCGATCATGAGAGTTATTGCCAAGTTATTTAATTTGAAAATTTTATTATACTTTATTAATCATTTTAAGGGTGTGTGTGGGGGGTGATGGTGTGTGAGCTTGCATGTGCGCCATAACCCACAAGTGGAGGAGGTTAGAGGACCACTTGGGGGAGTTGGTTTTTTTCCCTCCATCATTTGGGTCTCAGGGATCAAACTGAGACCGTCATGCTCAGCTGAAAGTGCCTTTACTTGCCGAGCCGTCCCGCTGGCCCCAGGTACTGATTTTTTTTTTTTTACTTCTGTCTCAGATTTCATATATAATGCAGTGTTCCCATCAAATGTTACTTACCAAATTCCCATCAGGGTTTCTCTAGGAAAAATGAACATTACAAACGTGACCTCATCCCACAGTGCATTTCGGATTCAAAGGAGGTAAAAGCACACAAATTGTTCCTCACTAAACCTCGTGAAGGCGGGGCGATGCCTGCAGTAGCTACCTTCTCTCCTTCACTCCAAGAGGATGCGCTGCCAGTTTGGAGGAGAAGGACACTTACTGTAGGGGATTCTGGAGTCATGTTAGAACCATCTCAGTCAGACTGACAGCGGGCCAATGCTTCTAACTCCCGGGCTGCTAGCCCCTGAACTTCGAGTGGCAGAGATTACAGGCATAAAAATAGATACAAAAGAAAAAACAGATGGCATCTCTGACATGTGGGGACACTGACCAAATCCATGGACCCATATGCCAGTGTTAACCCAGAGTAACACTTTGCAGTTAGGAAAAGGATGAATGGAAGGGGTCAGGAAGCAGGGTTGAGATGAACTTTCTAGAAACTTCATAACAGCTGCTGGGAGGAGCATTTACGTTTTATAGGTTGGTTCAGATGACACTGATTTTTTTCAAGATCTGGGCCTGGTTCACAGCACCTTGCAGTCTTATGAAGAGATGTATGTGGCATGTGTATCTGTTTCTCTATATGTGCTCACACACATATGATTGGTGTCAGTGTGCATGAACTATTAGATGTTGGAGTCAAGGTAATCAAGATTCAGGGTATGATGAAGAAATTCATATTTCCTTGAATAGACATCTACCAGTTTTGATCTGCTCCATCCCTCCAGCATAGGATAGTAAACTCTGGGGTCATACTTCATAGTTTTCTATCTTAGCCTGCCAATTTGCCATTAGCCTTAACATAAGTTGCTTAATTGATAAAATGGGAATAATATCGATACCAGGCTTGTGGACCATTGTGGGAATTTAAGAAATGTGTTAATGTGGGGACTAGGGAGAGGGCTTGCTCTCTGAGTTTAGGTTTCCATCACTCACAGTTAAAGGTAAGAGTGTAGCTAAGCATCTGTAGCTTATCACTTGGGGGAAGGGATGGGGTAGCAGGTAGATCCCTAATGCTCATTGGCCAGCCAGTCTTCCTGAATCAACAGCCTCCAGGGTCAGTAAGAGATCTAGTCTCAAAAAAAAAATGTGGAGAGTAAGTAAAGGAGACATCCAGTATGACCTCTGACCTGGACATGAACATGCACACACATGCTACATGCAAATCATTTAGAACAACTCCTGGGACCCAGTAGGTAACAGGGATAGTGCCTGTGGTCTTCGGGAGTGCTCCTTTTAATTAATTTAATCCCAGACCCCTAGAACTGGGGTGCTCAAACAAGAGTTTAAGGATTTTGTTTCACCCCAACACACATCTGTCTTTACCTCTTCAGGGATGAGGGGAGAATCCTACTTCATCGGCATGAGGAGCCTGGGGCAGCAGGCATCCATCCCTGAAGATGGGGGACTCTTCTTCCTCTGCTGCATAGACAGAGACTGGGCCGTCACTCAGTGCTTTGCGGAAGAGGCCTTTCAAGCAATCACCGACTTCAATGATCTCCCCAACTCGTTGTTTGCCTGCAATGTCCACCAGTCTGTGTTTGAAGAAGATGAGAGCAAGGTAAGACACGCGTTCCGAAGCACGGAGAGGCCTGACATCAGCCTCCTCTCTCCTTTGGGGTTGGTCTTCGGGAAGTTATTAGATGCATTTACTTGGCTCTGCTTTGGGCATTGGTCATCAGGACCAGAAAAGCCTGCCTGGTATAAGGTAGTTACGGAGGTGGAGCTGTATCTGACTAGGTTGGGGGTGAGGTTGTGTGGAATGGACTCCAGTCCTTGCTGGTTTGTAGGTTCAGCTAACAGAAGCCCTATTCGGAATCTTGACCATAAGAGGCAAGCCCTAAGCTAGGAAGCAGGTGTTTAAAACTCCTAAGAGTTGTTTCCCTTCCATTCAGCCAAAATATAATCAGGCTTTCTCAGAACAATACAAGATCCTTTTAACCCCTGCCCTTCTTCAAGGTGATGACTCTTCCGGGATGGCCAGGAAGGAGCGCTAGCTGGCCATCTGAGTTTTTCTCCGCTCATGTGGACATTGGTGGCGGTTGTTACCAACTGTGATTTACTGCTCTCCAGCAATGGTAGCTTCATGCTTTGAGACTACTATGGACTGAGGTTGACGTTGCATAAACATTTTCTAGTTTTTCATTTTAAGAAGCCAACTTGGGTTAGTGAAATTGTTCCTGGAAACCACAGGAAATATTACAGGTGGAGACTTTTTTTGAAGTTTATTTCAGGTTGCAGATCCTGTGAATGCGATAGTTGGATGGGTCCAACCTTCCCGCATAGATGTGGGTCCTGACTTATAAATATTTACTGTTATACAATATTGTAAGCCATTGGTATTTTCTAAGGGGAAAATGCCTTTTTTATAAAGTAAAGTATGTGGCATTGTATGAGATGTGAGCACTTTCTAATTGCCATTTTATAAATGCTAGCTCTTTCTATTTCTAAAGTCCAGACACTGTTCACTGTTGACTGAGCCCAGCTAATTGGAAGTTTAGTTTCTGAGTTTTATTGATTTTTGTGATTGTTCTTAATGAGCCACAGAGAAAATCAGTGTGTGTGTGTGTGTGTGTGTGTGTGTGTGTGTGTGTGTGTGTGTGACAGGGGTATTTCAATCCATTTAAAGACACTGTGGAGCAATATTGTTTTGGCCTTGAACAATTGAAACTGTGGGCTGAAAATAGCTTGAAGTGCAATGAATTATCTGTGATTAGAAGCTTTAGGGCCATGATTACCAGGCTATTTAAAGCAAGAAAGTAGCACATGCCGTGAAGAAATTGGGATTTTGTTCCTGGATTGGAAAGCAGATTACAAAACAGATTATCATTTATTCAGGGTAAGTTATTTGCTCTGAAATATACTTGCCGTGAACCATAAAGTAAGGCTCTCCATTTCCCCCTGTACCTTCCATTTATCCAGGTGTCACAGTGAAGAGGATTTTCCTGGGAGATTTAGTGGAGGTTTTTGTTCTTTCATGATTGAGTACTACTGGTCAGTTGAAACAATAGGTACTTTGGAAGGCACTGATTTTTTTTTTTTTTTTTAGAAATGCTACTGGGTACTGGAGAGATGTGAACAAATTCACCCCAGACAGGAAACTGATGATGTCTCAAAGTAACAATTGCATCTTGGTGAACCAAGTGTGTTTATGAGACTGACTTGAAGGAGGATGGGTAAAGGCAGAAATCACTCCAAGGCAACTGCACTGAAAGCCACCTCAGCATGGGTGCAGCTCAGGAAATGCAGGACCCCAGAGTAGTGCATGACTGAGGCAGCCTGATAGGAGAATGTTTCAGCTCGGCAGTAGTCCTCATTGTAGACTGTGTCCTTGGGAAGGGAGGGGGCTTTCGCAACCAGTCAGTTTAAAGCACTTCCTGGGAAGTCTGTGTTGTTTATTTCCTGAGACTCCATAGCCTCCATTTAGAACCTCCCGAGTCTTAAGGACCTTCCCTCCAGGGTGGGATGTTTTAACTTGGAGAATATGGGTGCACAAGTGCCATTCCAGACCAGCTGATTGGCTGAACTTAAATTTTCAACCCTGAAGGATAAAGGCATGGGGGGTGGGCATTTATGGGAAGATTGTGCCCATGTCTATGTGGATCTTTGAAGATGTGATTAGAAAATGGATTACAAAATACTTTCAATTAGTTTATCTCAAAGTTACTGTGCAACAGTATAAGATAGTATTTAGTTTTAAAATAATTTAATAATATATCGATAAATGTGATACAATAAGATGGAACCAATTTCAAATGATTGAGAAACTGATTTATAGCCAAGGAGATGGATTTTAATAATACATACATTAAATACATACAAGTATTTAACAAATGCATTATTTATTTAGTGTATATATGTGTTTGTATATGTGGAGGTCAGAGGACAGCTCACGGAAGTTAGTTCTCTCCTTCTATCATGGGGGTCTCAGTTATTGAACTCAGGTTGTCAGGCTTGGCAGTAAGTGGCTTTATCTGCTGAGCCATCTCTCTGGCCCCAGATGGATTTTACAGTTGCCCAGTACCTACATCATTAAACTTACAAACCAGACAGGAAGTCTTCTGCCCTGGTGCCATCTTCCAGCCACCAATAGTGGAACATTTCTAGAATATTCAATAATTTGATGTAGAATCAGCTTTGATTTAGTCAAATATGCACATATGCTATAAATGTATATAACATATACTCAGCCTTATGATATATTCAGTCTTCCCTGTGGCTTAGTAAGTCTTTGGATACCAGCTGTTCCTCAGAAGCCCATGTGTTAAAAGCTTACTCCCCAGAGTGGTGATGCTGAGGGTGTGGGACCTTTAAGAGGCAGGGTGTAGCCATGACTCTTTAGGTCATTGCGGGGTGAGGTTTCCCTTCAAGCGCATAGTGACACCCAGGTCTGTTGTATCCCAGCCATGAGGTGAGTGATTCCGCTCTGCCACCATGTGCTGCCTCAACACAGGCTCGAAGCATCTGGCCAATGGGTCACGGGCTGAAACCTCCCAACTCCTTTCTCCTTGTAAGTTGATCACTGACATTTATTACACACTAGTAGGAAACTAACATGGACCACTAGTGTTTCAATAATCCCTTTTAATTAAAAATGTTTATTTTTGTGTATGTATATGTACCTGCTTGTCTACATATATACCTCATGCACGTAGGTCTTGAGGAGGCCAAAAGAGAGTATTAAATCCCCTGGAGCTGGAGTTACAGGTAACTGTGAGCCACTGAGCGACCCAACATGCTGGGAACTGAACTTGTCTGCTAGAAGAGCAGTACATGCTCTTAATCATCTTGAGTCATCTTTCTAGCCCCCAGTTTTCCCATGATCTTTATATATATACATATACATACACACACACACACACACATATATATATATATATACATATATATATATATATGTATATATATATATATATATATATCCACAAGGGTATTATTTTCAGAGTCCAGATTTCATGGATCTGAGTCAGAAATTCTGATGATGGACGCCGTTTCTAAAGGATGGACAATTTGGGCATTCTGCTAGGGTGTAAGGTAATTTTAGACTGAGAGAAAAGATACAGAAAGCGTCAGTCCCTGTGTTTGCCTGTGCGCAGGGCCTGATGGTGGTAATAGCTTTTGTATTGTGTTGGGAAGGCATGTTTTGTAGCCTGGAATTTGGTCAGGGAGTTGGTGCTTAGCACTCGTGTCTATGGTCATTTCCATGTACATAGGTGTTAACACATGTGGCTAGTCATGGCCTGGTGCTTTTATTTGGCCATATTCCACTTTTGAATCATGGCATTTGCATATTGGTGTCTTTGATTTTAGCCTGTTTTTGCAGTTATTGTAAAGTATTAATTTTAAATTTCTTAGCTGTAGAAAAACTCAAACTTCCACTTCCTTTCATGAATGAGTCTTCCAATAGACTCTTCTCCGTGCTCCCATGTGTCTGAGATGGCCTTTCCTGGGGCTCTGTCCTTTTCAAGCTAAGGAAATACTGAATTGAATTACTCATGCCATAGGTAACACTATCAGGCATGATCTGGTCATGTTTGCTTCTGCTTAAGTATTCTCCTGTGCACATTTCTTCCATCCTTTTAAATTTTTCTGTTCTAACACTTGATGCACATTTTTTTGAACAGCTTTGCAAGGGCTTTGACGTTCATTCCAATTTTCAGTCAGGCAGAATTCTGAAAGATCGTATTTTGATTTGATGCTTTGGCGATGAGTGAGCACAGACTTCAGCATGGCTTGTTGTGGTCCAGATGGTTGTATGCTGTTTATATAACACAAAGGATAACCAGAGCTGGAGGAAACTGGCATCCGAAAGCAACAAATGCAGATTGCTGTTTGCATAATACAGCCTGAAGTATAAATATTTTTGTGTGAAACCCATTTAGAACTGAATTCTTCAAAGCATCCAACACCTGAAAGAAACTAGGATTCATTTCCCTCTAGTGTGACCTACCCTTGTTGGCCTTTCTGGATTCCAGTGAAGTCTTGAGATGGGTAAGGGTGGAAGGAGGGACCTCCTTGCTGCTCTGGGCCTGCTGGATAGGACCTTGGTCTCTAAAGGAAAAGAACTGCTGTGAAATATTTATCCAAACTCAGTTGAGTAAGGGGAAGCCAGCAAGGTCACTTCATAATGGCCTTCAAAACATTTGCATCTATTTGATAATGGTAACAACACTCTCTTCAGCAACCGTCCTCGAGTATGTTGCAAAGATGCCAGGCGATTTTACAAGTGTTTTATAAACACTGAGCGTTTCTGTAGTCATGCCCACCCCAGGAGGGTGGGTTCTTTCTGTATTTCTGCTATTGTGGGATATTCCTTTAACTAGGTAAAGGTGTGTTACGTTTGTTCATGTTGCAGAATATTCCTTTAGCTAGGTAAAGGTGTGTTGCTTTTGTTTATGCTGCCTTTGTTTAACTATGTAAAGATGTGTTGCTGCTTCACCTTGCCTACCTAAGGCACCTGATTGGTTTAATAAAAAGCTGAATGGCCAATAGCTAGGCAGTAGAGGAATAGGTGGGCTAGTGGGTAGAGAGCAAAGTAGGAGGAGGAATCTAGGCTCAGGA